AAAAAAAAAAAAAAACATAACTATTAAGTTACGGGATTTTTTTTTTTTTTTTTTTTTATTTATAAACGAGTCGCTCGCACGTGGATATGTGTATTCGTATTATTGCGTAGATTCTTTCTCTCCCAGAATCTCTCCCAAAAGATACAAAGGAATTGTTTCGAACACAAGACACGCATAAAATTCGTATACCTCTCGTCAACAAGTTAGCATAGCCAGTCTTTAAACAATTGACTCGTGAATTCTTTGAAAATACCTACGATCATAATACGTAGCAGAATGTAACAATTTTGTGAGATTACGAAATTCCTAATACAATGGCGAGAAGCAGCTTCTCCAATATATCTCATTAATATTAATTTAATAACAAAGAAAAAGATCTCTAGAACGTTAACAAAATTATTGTCTTTCCTTTCTTTTTTTTTTTTTTCTTTCTCTTTCTTTTTTTAAATATGAATGACTAAGGAGATCCTACTTTAAAATTGGTCCAAGGTTTACGCTAGTATATATCTGTACATTTTTTCTCTTACCATATCGAAGTTTCCTCGTTTCAACAAACTCTTATCAATAAATTCAAATACGTATAAATCCGTAATACCAGATTCGTTACATAAATTCCGGACAAATGCGTTCCGCTTACATCTAAATAATTGTATTTACATTCCAATTATCACTCTTCGTCGAGTATTCTTTGCAAGCTACGCGAGAACGATAAGAAAACGTACGCGTTCGTACTTTAAACATCAAAGTTCCTACGATCGGATAATCGCATTCGGACAAATGATAAAATATTACGCTTCGACGATTATCCCTGGCGAGTACTTTGCATTTCCTTTTGATTGCTTTCAGTTGATTGTCCATTACAATTCCAAATAGCTCGAATTTGATTTCAGTCGTGGAGTAAGGCCGCAAAAAAGTTCTAACATGTTCCCCCGAAGTTCATACACATCTCCGTCGAATCTAATCGCAGCGTTGCTCTCTCACGTCATTTCGATATATTCCATCAAATACGTGTGTATTTAATTCTATTCCTATGAAATACGCGTGTTAATATCCTTCCTTTCCGTTGAAGCTTGACAGGTAGCTTTGCTGCGTCGCGCTTCGAATCACTTCCACCCATCTGGAAAAAGAAAAACGATTCGAAAATGTCCAAGTGTTTCAGTGCAGTTTCTTGGCAAGTTTTCCCCTCACCGTCCAAACGTGTAGTCGCTCTCAGCGCGGAAGAAGTACACGTGGCTTTTGAATTGCAACTTGAAGACGAAATCTTTGTTGATACCATCCTTCTCCGTCGGGGTGGTCACGGTGTAGCCCAACAATGGCAAGCTGGCCAATGGGAAGTCGTCTCGGTGGGATTTGTAAAAGAACAAGCAAAAGTTGGTAAACACGACCCAGAGCTTCTGCCAGCCGTTGCTGTTCTTGAACTTGCGCAACAGAAATCCACTCAGCTGGTTCTACAGAAACGAAATACACCAATGGAATATCTTGGGACTGTTTCCTACGTCGATGAGTAATGTTCTCTCGCTCACCTGAAACGCCCGCAGCTGATCGGCGTAACTTATGCTCGTGTTCCGATGCCAGCAAACGTGGACGGTGGTGTTGCTTCGTTGAGAAGCTTTGGCACCTCCGCAGCTTGCTCTGTCTGCTTCTAACCCTAAGCCCTCGCCCATTTCATCGGCCGAGCCTGTGAAAAAGATTTCGTCGCGTACAACCTTCCGTTTCCACGATCCATCGTGCAAGTGTAGAAACACTTACTGCAAGATTTCAAGTTCAAGTAGGGCATTTTCGGATCGGCGTCCGCCTGTGCGATAGCCATGTTCAAATCTTCCAACCATCTCTCCTTTTCTTTTTCGTTGCTAGCGGCCACCGTCAAAGACCTGCATCAACCGTCGACTTTCATGTACATTGACACTCG